CAGGAGGACTTATTCAGCTGTGTATCATATGATCTCATACGGAAGACAAAACTCAATAAGATATTCTATAATATTTGACATCCTTCCCTCCTAAAACCCCTCACAACTGATTTTCCGATTCAGATTTCTACTGTTTTTTTTTGTTTTCCTTGCTAGATTCGACCGCCATGGATGAAGTTCGTGAGAAACGAGAAGAGCTTCGTCGATTAATCGCTCGTTTATTCGTTGCAGTGTTGCTCACTGTAAACTACAGGGTGGTTTGGATCTTTCGGGAGCGGAGAAGACCATACATGTTTCTCTCTATTGGGCATCGAAGCTGAACAAGTTATCGAGGATGTGTTTTCCGATGGTGTTTTTCGGTATCTGGAGTTTGATTCTCGATATGGCTTTTGCGCTGGTGGCTGTGGAAAGGATGCGAAGACGACGTAAAGATTCCGACGTAACTCTGGTGTTCGCTTCTATCTTCTTGTTCGTGTCTCTCTCTCTCTTGGCTCATCTTCGCTGGTTCGTCGTCGTGCGAGTTCTCTGTCTTCTTCCCGACGCCAATGATTACGTACAATCTCTCTGAGCTTTTTGCTTCTATTTTTCTTGTTTCTTTGGTTTGAACATGAATCTCTCTCTATGATTCTCTTTTTTTTTGTTTCCKWTGTTGTAAAGAGAGGCTTAAAGATGATTCGATGAATACAATCGACAAGATCGTTTAACTGTTTCAAATTAGATCTTTCAAAACAATAACTCATAACTGTTGGTGGTGACTGATGACTAAGAAACATGAAAATTAGCTTCTCTGTTTTCTCAAGACACACGGAAATAATCACTTTCAGTTTTTAAACTTGTTAACAAACAAGCAAAAGAAATATCTCAGTCTTAATGTGAAAATTTAAGAAGACATGGAAGAATCCTCATGAGGAGTTTCTGTGGAGGTGGTTGTTGTGGCGTTTTGAGAGTCTTGGAGTAACTTCATTTGGTGTTCTGCGTGTTCTCTTTCGCACTGGCTCACACCGATGATGATGTCGAGCATTGTTCCCGTTGTGCCGAAGAACACCAGTGGACCTAGAGACTTTCGTTTGATGCCCACCGGGATTGCGACCAACGCCCCTAGAACTGAGAATACCCATGTCCCTAATGCACTGCACCAAACACAAACTTTTACACTTTTCAACTTCGATAATAGCAGCAACTACACTGTTACATACAAGAAGATACTTGGTACCAATTTGGATGTCACGGTTAATTCTACTTGCAAATCAAAGCAATATCCGTAGTTAAGCATTGCGGTATATGAAAAAGTGAAAATGACTGGCTACATAACTAATGGCATTATGGAACTCATATAAAGTCATCTAGATAACAAGAATCGATATCACAGTTCCGAAACAACCACTAAACAGTGCTCCCTTGGCTTTAGCAAACAATCAGACGTTGTTGATGTAAGCATAATGAAACTCATCAAGTCACCTAGATCACAAGAATCAATATCACAGTTACGAAACAAACACTAAAACAGTGTTCCTTTCGCTTTCTAATGTTTGGCGAACAATCAGATTTTGTTGATGTAAGCATAATGAAAGTCATTTAAGTCACCTAGATCACAAGAATCGATATCACAGTTACGAAACAAACACTAAATGCTCCCTTGGCTTCAAACAATCAGACTTTGTTGATCTAAGCATAAAGTAAGAAAACTGACTTGGAAACGGTGCATTCCTCAAGGTGTTTGACATTCTCCTGGCTTCCCATCTTTGATCAGTCGCTGAAACGAACCAATGCCCGGTTAAAGTTTTCACCAGACATATCTAATAAATCAGCTAGAAACTCAAATGGTCTCAAGTAATTTCCACAAATGAAATGCAAAAACAGGCTATGAGGAGCAAGAAAGCTCAAATCTTGAATGTTAAATCAGAAGCAAATGATGATAAACAACAGACTTAAAGACTAATGAGCTACAACATGACAAAAACTGCTACTATCTTGAATACT